TTTGGAGCATAAATTTACAAATCGTTAAAGTGTGAATGCAGCCTTAGACTTCAGCTGTTCTGACAGGCCATACGAATGACACTACACACATGCAATGCTTTACAGGCTACTAAGAAAAAAAAACATTTTTTTTCCTGAAAAAAAAACGTGCATTTATTTATTTTAAAGGTGAACTTATCCTTTAATGGGAGGCATATGGGAGTGAAAGGAGACTGCAAACGAAGGGAAAGCCCTTGGTTGTCACTAGAGCAAGTGTCCTTCAGATTTCCCTTCTGTTGGTGTTTAAGCCTAGGTTCACCTCTGTGCGGGTGGTGCCGCTGCGGATCCGCACAAAAATCTGTGCAGCCGCACCACCACCCACACAGAGAAATGCAGACCCGCGGGCGGGTGCCATTAATTCTAATGGCACGCCGCCCGCACTGGAAAACGCAACTGTCCTGGAAACAGGTTCCCGTGCGGGCTGCGGTTTTCAAAGACGTGCAGGGACTTCCCTGCATGTCACGGGCACGGGAGTCCATTCAAATGAATGGGCTCTCATGCCCGTACAAAACATGGACCGTACGGTCGCATATATGTGAACCGGGCGTTGGTGACAACTCAGAATTTTGGATATACTCCTCATTCCTGGAAACCCCAGGTCATAAATAGACTGAGCATCTCATCAGTGGGGGACAGAGATAGCAATAAAGACCTAACAGAGGTTCCAAGCCTTTCTTGTTTTATTCAGAAAGGGGGGAAATCGCCTTTGAATATGCTTTAACCACTTGTCTACCCGTACTGCTTATAAATGGCAGCTGGTAGAATGGGACTTTTAGCCACAAGTGTGTTTAAGCTTCGGCTTTCACTATGAATATGTGAATTGCATAGGAACCGCATCTTGTTTGTTGCATAGGAACCGCATCGCATTCCTGTGCAATTCACATGAGATTCAGCGTGGTGCGATTTGAGCCTATTCATTTTGAATGGGCTCAAATCGCACCATAAATGTGCATGTACCTTTTTTTGAAACCAAATCACAACCGGATCGCAAGGTCATTTTATACCATGCAAATCAGTGCAGGTAAATGCACTGCGTTTGGGTGTCATTCACTTTGTAATGACATCCGCAGCAGATCGCATCGCACGGCAATGGGTTGTGCGGGAAACAAGCACAGAGGCAGCCTTTTCCACACCATATTAGTGTGAATCTAGGCTAAATATGTTCAGCCAGTGATGAGCTATCTGGTTGAAGTGATTTAGGCAGCTGTAAAGCTGCCCGGTCATTTCCACAGCCCCCAGAGGTACTGCACCTGACTGCCCCCGGCACGGTTTCCAGGCTCCGCTGTCACGGTGGGTCCTGAATTGGCATTATAGATAGAACAGAGGCAGGTCAGCAAACCGCAGTTCTCTGATCTCTCTATGGATGAATGAACATGGAACTGCACCCCAATTTATTCTCCAGTGTATCTGCTTTCAGAAAATATGTAAGATTTGAAGGTTTTAACAAATTATCAGTCTAAACTGTGCTTTGTAACGTGTGCAAAACCGGAAAAATGGCTCTGGTAGAAAAATGGTTACGCAGCCAGTGCATACTGGGCAAGTAACATTATATAACAGATCAGTGACAGACGTGGTAAGACCTGCAGTGCATCTATTACAGATCGTTCCAAAAAACTGTCGGGTAAAGAAACTGATTTTTTAGGTGTATTTTTTTAGTAAATAGAAATGTTATTGGTGTGGTCATCAGAAAGAACATTTTATGTGGCATTTACATTTTTATATGTTTGCTGTTTTCATATTTTATTTGTGACTTTCTGTATGGCAGTAACCATGGTTTTGGATAGAGTTTCACCATAAACTGATCACATACATGTGACTATGAATGTTAGAGATTATGCATCCACTATACAATGGTATTAAAGGGGCTTTGGAATATGCAACTTGCAGATTATGACGGGCGTGTCCTCCTTCAGGCCTTACAGCTTTGTGCCCTTTCTCGCCCCAACTGCCATCTTTGTGCAGCTTTTTCCTCATCCAGTGTCGTTTTTTTTCTTCCATTGGTCATCCACTGGAGAAGTAACTCCTGCTTTGCAGTTACATTAAGCTGGCACCAGGTACCTATATTGATTGAAAAGATCAGCTGCAAAGAGATTGCAGGCAATATTGATGACTAGACCTTTGCTCTCAGGCTGCTGATTTTGGCACACTTCAGATCTGCTTTAACCCAGTTAGAAAGACTGGAAAACATGCCCTGTTAAGCTTGTGTGCAGTTTTTCCAACAAGCCTGTTGTTGCATTTGAAACTGTAATGCATGTCACTTCCCACAAATCATGTCGTGCTTCAGAAATCCATCTACATTCATTTTACATTTGCTTTAATTTCCATATATGTAAACACACACTATATTGCCAAAAGTATTGGGCACGCCTCCAAATCATTGGATTCAGGTGATCCAATCACTTCCATTGCCACAGGTGTATAAAGTCAGGCACCTAGGCATGCAGACTGCTTTTACAAACATTTGTGAAAGAATGGGTCACTCTCAGGAGCTCAGTGAATTCAAGCGTGGTACCGTGATAGGTTGGCACCTGTGCAATAAGTACATCTGTGACATTTCCTGGCTACTAAATATTCCACGGTCATCTGTTAGTGGCATTATAACAAAGTGGAATCAACTGGGAACAACAGTAACTCAGCCATGAAGTAGTAGGTCATGTAAAATGACAGAGCGGGGTCAGCGCATGCTGAAGTGCTCAGTGCGCAGAAGTCGCCAACTGTCTGCAGAGTCAATAGCTAAAGACCTCCAAACTTCATGTGGCCTTCAGATTAGCACAACAGTGAGTAGAGATCTTCATGGAATGGGTTTCCATTGCCGAACAGCTGCATCCAAGCCTTACATCACCAAGTGCAATGCAAACTGTCAGATGCAGTGGTGTAAAGCACGCCGCCACTGGACTCTAGAGCAATGGAAACGTGTTCTCTGGAGTGACAAATTACGCTTCTCTGTCTGGCAATCCGATGGACATGTCTGGGTTTGGCGGTTGCCAGGAGAACGGTACTTGCCTGACTGTATTGTGCCAAGTGTGAAGTTTGGTGGAGGGCGGATTATGGTGTGGGGTTATTTTTTAGGAGTTAGGCTTGGCCCCCTGGTTCCAGTGAAGGGAAATCTTAAGCTGTCACCATACCAAGACATTTTGGAAAACTTTGTGGGAACAGTTTGGGGATGGCCAACAATTTCAGGTGCAATTTCAATTCGCAAATCGTACCTGAAATCGCATCGGTATGACAGGCACTAAACCCTTGTTGGACTCCTCTTTAGCAAGATACAGTTTTTAACAGTGCTGCATGAGACATTTGTCATTAGGTTTAAACTGGTGGCACTCAGTGATGAACATCTTTTTGGGCTGAACTGGCTATACACTGATCACAATTCAGCCAGTTCAGCAGGGATCAGACAAAATTGAGATCAGTATGTGGCTTTCCCCGCTTGACAGAAATTGATAATTTAATTGACTCTGGTGGAAGGTACACACTGGAAAACATTTGGTGATCAGCAGCTGGTAAGTAGAGTATTCTGACAGCAGTGAGTCCCGCTGTCAGAATACAATATCCTAACAGGAGGAGGGATTCCTCCATCCTTCTTTGTGTGGATGGAGGAATTAGGGTTTTTTTTTACTGTACAAAAAAACCTAACAGTGTATGGTCAGCTGCAGAACCCAATGCAATCTTTAAACCATTACTAGCATCATGCCTTAGCACCGTAAGGTAACCATCAACAAGTCTTTAATCTCAAGCCATTCAGCAATTAATAATCTCATAGCTCCTTAGGACCTAAACACATGGGCATTCACAGATCTTCACTAGTAAACACTAGGCAGAGTCTAGGCTATACAATCATTACAAAACCCTGGCATCTTTATTAAAGGGCAGAAATACAGGTTAGGCCAATAGTCAAATGTTTTTGAAGGTGCAGGCTCCAGAATGGTCATCCTGCAATTTGTTTTCCTACCTAGGGAGTCACTGACCTGGATCAAGTATGTACATATCAGCACTTCCCGACTGAAGCTAAAGAATTGAAAAGATGCTTAAAGCTGTACGCAAAACTTAGGGCTCTGCTATTAGTACATTGATGCCACTGCCAGCAGTATAGATTTTTAATATACCTTTTCATATTACCGTATTTTTTGCTCCATAAGACTCACTTGACCATAAGACGCACCTAGATTTTAGAGGAGGAAAACAAGAAAAAAAATATTCTGAATCAATGGACTGCAGACATAGTACAGCAAATGACCAGAGACTGCAGACATAGTACAGCAGATGACCAGAGACTGCGGACACAATACAGGAGATGACCAGAGACTGCGGACACAGTACAGGAAATGACCGGATACTGCGGACACAGTACAGGAAATGACCGGATACTGCGGACACAGTACAGGAAATGACCGGAGACTGCGCACACAGTACAGGAGATGACCATAGACTGCAGGCGTACTACAGGAGATGACCAGAGACTGCAGACACAGTACAGGAAATGACCAGAGACTGCAGACACAGTACAGGAAATGACCGAAGACTGCGGACAGTACAGGAATGACCGGAGACTGCGGACACAGTACAGGAGATGACCGAGGCTGCGGACACAGTACAGGAGATGACCGGAGACTGCGGACACAGTACAGGGGATGACCGAGGCTGCGGACACAGTACAGGGATGACCAGAGACTGCGGACACAGTACAGGGGATGACCAGAGACTGCGGACACAGTACAGGGGATGACCAAAGACTGCAGACACAGTACAGGAGATGACCAGAGACTGCGGACACAGTACAGGAGATGACCAAAGACTGCAGACACAGTACAGTGAGATGACCAGAGACTGCGGACACAGTACAGGAGATGACCAGAGATGCGGACACAGTACAGGGGATGACCAGAGACTGCGGACACAGTACAGGGATGACCAAAGACTGCGGACACAGTACAGGAGATGACCAGAGACTGCGGACACAGTACAGGGATGACCAAGACTGCGGACACAGTACAGGAGATGACCAGAGACTGCGGACACAGTACAGGAGATGACCAGAGACTGCGGACACAGTACAGGAGATGACCAGAGACTGCGGACACAGTACAGGAGATGACCAGAGACTGCGGACATAGTACAGGGGATGACCAGAGACTGCGGACACAGTACAGGAGATGACCAGAGACTGCGGACATAGTACAGGGGATGACAAGAGACTGCGGACACACATACAGGGATGACCAGAGACTGCGACACAGTACAGGAGATGACCAGAGACTGCAGACACAGTACAGTGGATGACCAGAGACTGCGGACACAGTACAGGAGATGACCAGAGGCTGCAGACACAGTACAGTGGATGACCAGAGACTGCGGACACAGTACAGGAGATGACCAGAGACTGCGGACATAGTACAGGAGATGACCAGAGACTGCGGACATAGTACAGGAGATGACCAGAGGCTGTGGACATAGTACAGGAGATGACCAGAGAATGCAGACCTTTGGGGAGCGGGGGGGGAGTTAGGTACCCGAATTTGACAGCTCCCACTACCACTTTTGCGGAGCTGTCCTCCCTGTAGTCTTACGGGACAAGTGACAGGTCCAAGAAGACTACAGGTGGCCCATCACAAAGCGCAGCGCTTCTCACGCATGTACAGTGGGCACCCGATTGTGAAGCCACAAGTTGTCACAGCCGGGTTCCCACACTGAAGATGCCGGCACCGGGGAGAGAAGACAGCTGGTGAAAGCAGGACACCGATGGACCAAGGAACAGGTAGGATTGAGGAGCTGGTTCTTCTGCACAGTAGAGAGGAATGGCTGGCCCGACATTCTAACATGGCGGTGGCGGGAACACCGGTCCAGCCACTCCATATTCGCTCCATAAGACACATAGACATCTCCCCCCGTTTTTAGGGAGGGGGGGGAAATTGCGTCTTATGGAGTGAAAAATATGGTAAGTGGTTGGTCGTGGGCTGTGCTGGTTCTTCTTTCTCTCTGATCTTCTCCAGGGGTGAGTGATCCTGAATAAGGCAGAGAGCGGCACTGATATCAGTGCCTCCCTCTGCATCAATACACTGAGTGCAGAGCACAGTGCAAAAGAAGAACTTTACCCCTAACAACTTAATGGAAAAAAAAATGTTCTTTACCAAGGAACATACATTCCACATGACTAATTATGTTACCAATATAAGTGTGTGCTGCAAATTGCCTTCAGTATTGCTTCTGTTTCTTCTTGCTTCAATAAAAAGGCCACCTTTTTATTGAAGCCCAGAGCCCCTGAGCAGCATCAACTCTTTAGTGCTTATGCTGTCAGCAGATTGGCCTTTACAAATTTGGCACAGTGACAAAAAATAGAGAGCAACTGAGCATGTGCAGAACAGGGTGAGACAGTGTATTACTGGATTTTAAACAGTATAGGCACTTATTTTTAATGTTTTAAAACACAGATCTCTCTGCCTGTCAGTGGGGATGTGCCGGTTTTTATCTCCCTGCAAAGCAGGGAATAAAAACCAGCACGTCCCTAAGTAAAACAGCACACAGTTAACCCTTTGATCGCCCCAGATGTTAACCCCTTCCTGCCCAGTGTCATTAATACAGTGTCTATGCTTTTTATTAGCACTGATCACTGTATTAGTGCCACTGGAGAGGTCACTGGCAGTTAGTTCCCACTCAGTGTCAGTTAAGTCAGAAATCATACAAAAAATACAGCTGTGACCGTTCGGTTATCTGATTGTTAGTACACAGCTTTCGTCCAAAATTCTTCGAAGGGACAAAAATTATTCTCGATGATACCAGATCATATGATTTTCATTTAAGTAGTACACTTCTCATCCGAAAATACAATACGTTACATCACTTCCAAATTTTCTTTCTTTCGTACATGAATTTTCATAACTTTAATAACCTCTTCATTTTCGATATGAGCCTAAGATGCAAAAAAAAACAGATGATCATTCGTCCAATATTATCATAATGTGTAAGGATCTTTAGTGTCAGATTTCCACCGCACTATCATGGTCCCACTATAAGTTGCTGATCGCCGCTATTACTAGTATAAACAAAAAAACACATTTCCAGTATCTATACCAGGGGTGTTGAATTAAGATTCAGCAAGGTCCGGGCAGTAAAATTTGCATGCATCAGAGGTCTGAATATCATGTAGGCCCCTGTGGTGCATTTTCATGTGCACCAAACCACGTGTTGCTGCGGTGCAATTTTGAAAAAAAAAGGGCCGGGGACTTCTTCAGGTTTCTATCAGATAGTGCTGACCTACCCACAACGTATGCACCAAATGCACATGTACAGATCTGAACCTGTTCTTACATCAGTGTCCTCGATCTCCACTGCACATCACAGTCCCCTCTTCATTCAGAGCAAGATCCCTCTTGATGAGTGTCCTCAGCTCTCCCTTTACATCACACCCCTCCACCCATTTCACAGTAATGTTCTCACACTTCCTTGAAATCCAGACCCCCCCCAACAGTACTGTCCTCTGCCTCCTTCACTGAAGAGTACTCTGCCCCTTTTTACATTATCCCCCCACATTACTGTTCCCAGACCCACTCCCATGTTACTATCCTCATCCCCCATCCATGTTACTCCCACTTTAATGTCCTCAGCTCCCACACATCACAGTCCTTAGCCCCCCACATTACTGTCCTCAGCCCCCCAACATTCAGTCCTCAGCCCCCTTCACACTAATGTCCTTAGCTCCTTTAATCCCCCCCCCTCCCCATTGTCTTACCTTACATAGACAGTGATTGACAGACAGTGATTGATTGCTAGGACTGACCTTCATCCTAGAACCAGTCACCTGCTTGTTAACCTCAGGCAGCTCCCACCCTCCATCCAGAACTGTCCTGCCTCCCACTGTCAGCTCTGTGAGGATGACTGCAAGACAACTGGGGGAAGAATAAGCTCTTAAATGGCGGGACTACATGGGTCCCTGATGGGATAGTGACTCGGTCCACATCCAGACCCCGGTCCGTCTTTTAGTGATGCATGATCTATACAATTGTTTGTAGATGCTATAATTTTCACGCAAACCAATTAATACACATGGGATTTTTTTTTACCAAAGAAATGTAGCAAATACATTTTGGCCCAAATTTATGAAGACATTTTTCTTTTTTTTTTTTATTGGAGGTGTTTTTTAGCAAAAAATCAAACAATTTTTCTTTTTTTTTAATGGTTGGTCTTTTTTTGTCTATAGCACAAAAACATTAAAAACCAAGTTGTGATCATATACCACCAAAAGAAAGCTATTTGTGCGAGAAAAAAAAAAAATTATAGAAATTTAATTTGTGTACAGTGTTGCAGGATTAAGGAAAATATGACACTCTGCACTCAGTCTTCCAGGTTCAATGATAACAGGCGTCATTGAATCAAGAAGACTGATGCCATCGCGTGGTGAAGAAGAGATTTTGCAAAGCACAGCTCCCCAGCACAGGGATTGTAGCCAGAGCCGCTTTACTTGTACAAAAATATAAATATATATTTGCTATGTCCAACAATTTCTTTTGGTAGAATAACACCTTCTTTTTCCAGTGTAAGGGTGTTGCAATGGGAGAGAAGTATGCTCCCAGTGTTGCCAATATTGTTATGGACAAATGGGAAGAAGACTGCATCCACGATAAATGGCCAGATATAGTTTTATATAGGCGATTTATTGACGATATTATGATGATCTGGAGGGGTTCATTAGAAGATCTTAATGCTTTCTCCAAATATATTAATAAAAATGAATATGGATTGAAGTTTACTGTCATCAGTGACTCAGATAGAGTACATTTTTTGGATCTTACCCTATATAAAAACAAAGTACAAATTAATACTAAAACCTTCTTTAAAGATATTGATAAAAATAGTTTTATTCTCATTTCCAGTGGACACCATCCAAGATGGTTACACAATACTCCAAGAAGTCAGTTTACACAAATAAAAAGGAATTGTAGTACGCATAAGGATTTTGTAGATCAGACGGAATTATTAATTAATAGATTTGTGGAAAAGGGGTATAAAAAGCCTCTTAGAAACTGAAAGAGAAATTATTGACAAAAGAGATAGAGATACTCTTCTGTCTGGTAGAAAAATCAGAAATAATGGCGATAATATTGCCTTTATTACAAACTATAACGATCAATATAAAAAGATTGAGGGTATTTTCAAAAAACACTGGCCGGTATTAAGGAAAGATGAGACTCTAAAAAATATCATCCCTCAAAAAACCTAGATTTATATACAGAAAAAATAGATCTTTAAGGACCAAATTGGTCCATTATGTTTTGGATCCACCTAAAGACAAACTTTTTCCCTAATTTACAGGGTTTTTTTCATTGCAATAAATGCAAAGCATGTAAATTGGTTAATAAAACTTCTAAGAAAAAGAGGAAGTCTTTTCAGTCTACATCCACTAATAAAGAATATAAGATCGATGCGTTGATTTCGTGCAATTCGTCCCATGTAGTTTATGTTTTGGAATGCCCTTGTCATTTTCAGTATGTGGGAAGAACAGGTAGATTATTAAAAACCAGGATAGGTGAACATCTTCATAATATTAAAAAAGGATATGATAAGCATAGTGTGTCGAGACATTTCAAGTTAAAACATAATAGCGACCCAAGTCTACTAACTTTTTATGGATAGAAAAAATGAAGAGACACTGGCGAGGTGTGGACATGATCAATGAGTTATCTAAGAGAGAAACATTTTGGATATATGAATTGGATGTATTAGGACCTAATGGTTTGAATATAGATATTGATTTAAATAGTTTTTTGACAAATTTTTGAGTCTGTGTTTTTATGAACATAGTGACTAATTGAACATGTCTACGCTCAATTATGGAGGAATGATTTATATATAATGAATACATGCAATTTTATTTTGATTTCATATTTTATATTTTTTATAAATATGATTAATTGGTTGGAATTATAAAAAGATGCTAAATTGTAATTGTGGATATTGCCTTTCATGTTAAAGGTCCTCCCTTTTTTTGTTTTGTTTTAATTGATTATTTTGATATAAATTTAAAAAAGATTTTATATTTTTTGAATATCTTTGAGTGGAGCACCTTTTTAGATGTGAAAATGGCCCTTTAAATGTAAGTTTATATCCGTTACTCCTTTCCGTTTTTTAGATACTTGTAGTGCTCGTTTTTTTTATATGTTTTCAATTGACTAAGATCATCCTGTGCAATATTTAAGATAGCACTTTGTATATTTGGTATATATGTAACATGTTTGTAACAGATTACCAGTTACCTAATTGTAACAATCAGTTCATTACATCGATGGGATGTTGCACTGATTCGTTAAAGCCAGCCGCATTGCAGAGTGTGTGCAGTATATATATATGGTTAATATGGCGTATGACATCTAAGCCACTCCGTGAGGATGCCTTTGTGATGAAACGCGTAGGGCAGAGCTTGGCTAGGTATGACATCAGGACGCTCCCTGGTATTGTCAGCGGTGTTCGCAGCAAGTGGGACTCATCTATCCTTTGTGGTCTATTGCAGATCGTTAATGCTGATCATGCTGGTGTCGGCGTGACACCTTGTTTGTGAGTGTTTATGTAGCCGTTTGAATAAATGTCAACAATTTTAAAACACGCTGCACCATCCTGCCTTTTCTTTATCATCCTGAGTGTGGTTCTACGATTATGATCAGATAAAAGGTTTCCTTTTCCACTGGCTTGGTGTTGCTGCAGAGTATTACTCCCAGAGTTTGGATATCCCAATTTGCCACAGAGTTTTGCTCCTAAAGTCTGCATATACCTTATCATCACTCCCAGAGAAACCGTGCTAATGCTGGTTTATAATTTAATCAGCATTTAGCTCTGGTGAGTTTATTTCTTCTGGTGGTGGATTGTGATCACGGCGATATATATGTTTCTTCACAATAAGTTAGAGTCATACATTTTTTTTGGACTTGACCCATGGACTTGTTTAAATTTGCATCATTGTTTTTTTTTCTTCTTGAGTTATTATATAGCGCATTCCTATATTATCTATACCTTGTATGTAGGGTTTTAGGTTTGCTGTTTAAATAAGTTTTATTTTTTACTTTGGTGCTTTTCTAATTTGATTTATTGAACATAAAAAGGATGTCCTATGACACCTGGTGAGTCCATCCTGTGTCCTGTGAACATCCCCTTGTCCTACTGTATCACCTATTCCTGGCACAGACCACCACACACCCCATGTTGAGGATTTCTTCATGCAGAAGAGAATCTTTCAATATAACCAGCAAATGTCATTCTTCCAGGTAAATAGACTGCTGTGTGTAATGTATATCAGGCCTGTAAATGAAGAAAGGAAAAAAAAAAAAAAAAAAAGCCAGCACAGCTTCTGTCCTATTTATACTAGAACGTTTGGGACCCATCAGATAAGTGGCTGTTGAACACAGTCCAAAGTACAAAATAGCATGGCTACCTAATTTGAAGACAAGAAAATGCATCATGACATTAAAGAGTGTGTCATGAAGGTTTATACCAGGAACAAAATTACATTGTTACCTGACATATCAAAGCTAGAATTACATGACAGTCAGCATTTTCAGAACATAACAGCAGTGACTAAGACCAAGCTAGTCTGTAGAGAAAAAAAAAAAAAAAAAAAAAAACAAAAAACGTTCATGCTAATAATTTCCTGTAACCTGTCCTGATCAGATCTACAAAAGCTGTATACTAACAGATCATACAATTGCTTTGAAGGTGGTATTTTACAATCATATGTGTGGGGCCTTAACCCATAGCCTACAAAAAAAAAAAAAAAAAAAAAAAAAAAAGTCCTTGGGTACAGTGAAGAAACTATACTATGAAGTGGATGAGGACATTTTCCTCACACAGCCCCACAATCCTAGTTCTAGCATCCAAAGCTACTCTAGACCCTTCCACCAAGAACAGCAGGCCCATTACCATCACCCTGTAAACAGGCCGCTTGTTAACTTGAGACCACCACTGACACACCTGGCATTCTAACTTTCATAATGAAAACCATCTCCTCAATGGTGCACCATCCTTCATAGATTGTCATTGGGGGCGGTCAGCTGTCAGACTCTTCCCCCTAGGCTGCACACAGGGACTTCTATCCCCCCATAACCATACCCCTCAAGGTCAGAGCTGGCCCAATGTGCTCATCCAAGGGTGCAGTGCTGGTCAGAGCACAGCCCCACCTGCTAGAGGGCATGGCCCAGGCCCCCTTTAGGAGGCCCAGTGGTACCCCCTTAGCAGCCCTGGTAACAATGCAACCAGGAGGCTGCATGGGGCAGGGTCACCCTTGACACACAAGGAGCCCTTCCTGTCCTGAGTCCCCTATAAGGCTGCCTTCACACTCATGCCTTGTGGTTTACCTTCACCACTAGTGCAGTGTACATGCAGGTTTCCCCACAAGTTACCTAGCTATACGTTGCCATTGACTTCTATTATATATTGCGGGTGTGCCACACTTTCTCAAAGCTCACCACAACTCCCACATTCAGGAGGTTTTTTTTTTTGCAACAAAAGTGCTCTTCCCTGGTTTGAGGTAGAGGGCCACAGGTTGAGTGCCCCAGCTGTAAGGCCTAGGGAAAAAAAAAAAAAAAAAAAAAAAAAAAAAAAAAGGGAATTTAGGTGGAACACTTAGGCTACGTTCACACTAGCATTATGTACAGGCAGCAGAAAGGCGTCAAGTCAGGAGGCGTTGAAGCCTCCTTTTCTAGTCTATGGTGCCGCTCTGCAAACGCCTGACGTTTGCGGAGCGGTAACACCATTCAAACTTTGTTATAGGAGTTTGTAATGCTCGCGCAAACGCCAGCCAGACCAAAGCTTGTGAAACGCTATAGGGGAGTTTGGCAAGAGTCAGTAAAACAGTCAAGTGTGAATGAGCCCTTAGAGGCTAATGGAAATTCAGATGGGGCAGCAGCCTTAGATTTAGGAAAGCTAGCCTACTTTTCACCACTTGCCGAATGCATTATAGCAACTATACAAGTAAAGTATTTATTAAAAATAGTTTTAATATAAAAATGTAAACAATCACAATTTGCAAAAAGTCATAAATTACAAGTGCATAAAGTTAAATATTTGTTCATTCAAAACTCCTGAGACTCAACAGCTTTGGGCTCCTGTGATGGGCCTTTCATGGTCTTCTTCGGCAACAGAACAGCTTGTATGTTGGGCAAGACTCCCCCATCGGCAATGGTGACACAACTAAACAGTTTGGCCAGTTCCTCATCATTCCGGACAGCTAGCTGGATGTGTCTGGGCAAGATGCGAGATTTCTTGTTATCTCTGGCTGCATTTCCCGATAACTCCAGGACCTCAGCACACAGGTATTCCAAAGTGGCTGCCAAATAGATCCCAGCTCCAGAGCCAATCCTCTCTGCATAGTTTCCCTTCTTCAGAAAGCGATGGATGCGGCCTACTGGGAACTGGAGACCTGCCTTAGCTGACCTAGACGTCTTGCCAGCTGCAGACTTCTGAATCTTCTTGCCACGACCAGACATTATGAAGATAACCTGTTAAAGATATACACCATTTGTCAAAGCAACAAAAAAGGAAAAAAGTTAAACTATACATGTTGGGTGTACACATTTTTCAAAGTCTGCTTCACTTCAGAGAATGAAAACTGTCCTTTGTGCATGGAGCCTAAAGGTTGGGGGACTTATCACTTTTTTCTTTTAAGAAGCTATTCTTTTCCTGCTCCTAGAAGCAAATTATATGGGTCCATGCACACCATGTTTTGCTAGAAGAGTTTCACACCTCAGCAATTAGGGGGTGGGGGAGACCCATGCTAGTGTGCATGGAGTGTAACGCTGCACTGGAAGTTATTGCAGGAATAGACATTTGCTGGCTGTGAGGAAAAAACAGGTTTTCCCATTGGAGAGATTCTTCTAAACCCCCAATAGAGTAAGGGAATGTTAGAACCTTAGGTCTTTATTGCCATGGGTGCCTTCCAGTGCCAGCAACACCCATGCACCTAATGTCTTGGGTTGAGACAGGGATCACAAGTCTCCATAATGGAGTCATAGACAACATAACCCAAGAGGTTCTAACCCTACCCAATAACCAAAATCTGCTTGGTGCTGGGCTTTATAGGGCAACACCACTTTCATGGGAAAGAATTAGCAAGTTAATGTATACAATTGTGACTTGGGGTGGAGTACCTTTCCAATCTGCAGCACTGCAAACTGCTATGCAACCTAGGAGGCATTCTGTACAGTTTTACCCCCTGAAATGCAATTTGCTACATGTGCAATTGGCCCACTGGTTTTCCCAGGCACATGCACTAAAGGTACAAGATTTTGGGCATCCACAACAGAAATATTTTTGAAAGATACCCCCAAAAGGAAAAAGCATGTCTATAGGTATGCAGATGCTGCCAACGTCAACAGAGTTCTACTCAAAAGCGGAAGCTCCACTTATTTGCTTCCTCCCCCCTCCACTGCCATATTTGGCACCTTTAGGGAGAAAGCAGATACCCGTTTGACAGGTAGCCACTCCCCTGGCAAAGTGAGCCAGAAGTTGAGCCCCCTCCTTACTCCCAGTCTTTTGGAAACTTTCACAGGTCCCAGGAGACTGCCAGACCAGTTAGGAGGCACAGTGCAACTTGCACAGTGGGCACCAGGCTGTGAAGCCACAAGCTTTCACAATCTGGTGCCCACAGTTGAGATGCCAGCATGGGTGAGAACATCACTGGACTCTGGGACAGTCAAGTGTGTTTATTAAAAAAGTCAGCAGCTACAGTTTTTTTTTTTAAGCTACTGACTTAATCACAAAAATTGGAACTCCACTTTAAAGCCTTGTAAGTGCAGCAGCTGATAAAGTCACTCCCATTCACTTTCCACTTGGAAACAGTTATTTCTTTTAGATTAATGGAGTAGTAGTTACAGCAGTAGTTTTATGAAAGGCAACAGAAGGAATCTAGTGCATAGCTACCAAGTGTCCCTCAGAATATTCTACCAGTGAAGAGCAACAGTTGTGGCATGTGCAATACCACCCCCCCAACATCATAGTATAGGAGCTTTAAGAATGTTTGACAAGTCAGACAGAAGAGATTATGGGGTCAATGAATCCAAGGTATATTGATAAACTACCAATAGACAACTGCACTTCCATCATATGCCATCCCCATTAGGCCAGACTATGTAGACAGAAGAATTTATAACACTGAATTTCAGGTAAATACAAGACAATTAATGCAGCATGGGTACCTGAACTCAGATCAGCCCCTTAAACACAGCCAAAACCAGGGGACCAGTTGTGCTACAGGAAAGGAGAAACATATTGGGGAAAGAGCAATTCAAGGGTCTGCTATAGATCTTCACTATCCAGATCACCCAATAGTATAAAACCCCCCCCCCCCACACACACACACACACACACACACACACCTTACAGGTCTCTTCCCTAATCAGCAGAGAAATATCAATTTCTCCCCATCCTTGTTACTGCATACCAGAATTTACATAGTCCCAGAACTGGAGAGACAAAAACCCACATCATATTTAAACAGGATGACTGAGGATCATTAGCCTAGGATTATGAAAGGTCAGCAATACCCAAATATTACCTGTGTTCAAGTAAATGGTGTTAACATACAGAATTATTGCACAAATCAATGCCTGACCCTATTAGCCAACAAACACACTCACCCAGGACCAGCCAGATAATCTCAGAACAACTTGGACAGGAGTTGAACAAACTAAGCCCTTCCCATGCTGCTTATATCCAAGTATAAACACCTGTGGCTGGTTAATTCAATGAGTACTTACCACCCCCCCCCCCCCCCATCAGGGCCTTCAGCAGTGCAGATGACCTCACTTAAACACAGGTGGAGGCATTAGTATCTCAACAATGCTACCTGCGTATGTACAAAACAAGGACTTCTTTAGGAAACACTGGATTAAAGGGAACATGCTGTAGAGTGTAGAGTCATAGAGGTTGCCATTCCTGACCTGCCTTCTGAAATTACTAGTTCGCTGGCTGTCATCACTGGCTCTCGTACATTTTGGGTCAATAAACTGGAACCGATGCGCAGAGTAGGAGCTCTGACTTTACTCTAACCTTCCTGATCTTTATGTTTGTTCCACATCAGTGTCTTATAGAGTACTGAGGCAGCCAGACAACTAGCATTTTCAGAAGAGGACATCAGCCATGGCAGCCCCTTATTCTGCTCAGTACAGGTTTACTTAAATAATATCCTGATATCTTGTTACATTGTGAGCCACCTTCTCCTTTCCCCTGGCAAATGCTATAGGAACTGTTCCAAGCTGAAGGTTTGTCCCTGGATATAGCTCGGCTTGTCACAACTGCTTAGGCGTGTCATCCAGGACCACTTTGTTATGCTGCATTTTTAACTGAATGTTTTATTACCATTTATTGACAGGTGCTAGAAAGTACTGGAGATATAATAGATCTGAAAGATCCCATTCACACAAGTTTCACATCTCAACATGGCATATGTGTTGTGGCATGCCGCAATGCAGGTGCCATTCCCACTACAGTAATAGTCTGTTGGAATTCAAAATGAATACCAACACATTACACTACAATTCTCATATCACCACAACACAATACTGTAGTGTAAATGGGCACTAAAGCAAATTCAAGAGTTACAGGCCACATTCAGGCTTGTGAGTGTTGTTGCCAGTGTTTAAGCTACATTTTCATGTACATCATCTCATGGTACAATACCAGTATGTAGAAGTGCCCCTCCCCCAATTATACACTATATTTCCAAAGGTATTGGGACACCCCTCCAAATCATTGGATTCAGATGTTCCAATCCCCTCCATGGCCACAAGTGTATAAAGTCAGGCACCTAGGCATGCAGACTACTCCTACAAACATTTGTGAAAGAATGGGACACTCTCAGGAGCTCAGTGAATTCAAGCGTGGTACCGTGATAGGTTGCCACCTGTGCAATAAGTCCATCCGTGTAATTTCCTTGTTACTAAATATTCTACCGTCAACTGTTAGTGGCATTATATCAAATTGGAAGCAACTGGGAACAACAGCAACTCAGCCATGAAGTGGTAGGCCACGTAAAATGACAAAGCGGGGTCAGCGTATGCTGAAGGGCACAGTGCGCAGAAGTCACCAACTGTCTACAGAGTCAATAGCTAAAGACTTCCAAACTTCATGTGGTCTTCAGATTAGTACAACAGTGAGTAGAGAGCTTCATGGAATGGGTTTCCATGGCCGAGCAGCTGCATCCAAGCCTTACATCACCAAGTGCAATGCAAAGTATCGGATGCCATGGTGTAAAGTACGCCGCCACTGGACCCTAGAGCAGTGTTCTCTGGAGTGACGAATCACACTTCTCTTTCTGGCAATCCGATGGACATGTCTGGGTTTGGCAGTTGCCAGGAGAATGCTACTTGCCTGCCTGCATTGTGCCAAGTGTGAAGTTTGGTGGAGGGGGGATTATGGTGTGGGGTTGTTTTTCATGGGTTGGGCTTGGCCCCTTAGTTCCAGTGAAGGGAACTCTTAAGGCATCCACATACCAAGACATTTTGGACAATTTCATGCTCCCACCTTTGTGGGAACAGTTTGAGGATGGCCCTTTCCTGTTCCAACATGACTGTGCACCAGTACACAAAGCAAGGTGCACAAAGACATGGATGAGTCTGGGGTGGAGGCACTTGACTGGCCTGCACAGAGTCCTGACCTCAACCCGAAAGAACACCTTTTGGGATGAATTTGAGCAGAGACTGTGAGCCAGGCCTTCTCATCCAACATGTCTGCCTGACCTCACAAATGTGCTTCTGGAAGAATGGTCAAACAATCCCATAGACTTCTAAACCATATGGACAGCCTTCTCAGAAGAGTTGAAGCTGTTATAGCTGCAAAGGGTGGGCCAACTCAATATTGAACCCTACGGACTAAGATTGGGATGCCATTAAAGTTCATGTGCGCGTAAAGGCAGGCGTCCCAATATAGTAGCAATATAGTGTACATGGACATGTATGTCAGTGCCATTATATGGACACATGTTTAGGCAATGACTTTGACTAATATAAGTGTCCATATAAGGGCACAGATGTCACCATCATTCTGCCCCTTTGTTAATGTGTGCTGCAAGGTGGAGAATGACTCGGCCTGCAACTGATGGGACTTTAAAAGAATGCAAAGTGGAAGTTTAGATAAAGATGAGTTTATAGGATACCCAAGCTCATCTCTACCCATTAAAATTGAAAAGGTATATACAAGACACTCAGAAAAAAATGTGGATAGGTGGCCCCTTTTTTCTGCATTTGTGGCACTGGAAGGTGTTACTTCCATAGGAACCGTTGACCATTGTAAGAGTGGGCGGAGGGCAGATAATGCAGACAACTGTGGCTGTTGGAAAACATTATGGGCAAGTTACAATATATTTTAGAACTGTGATCATTTTACTATTCTATGTGCAATTTTGCATTAAATATCAGACATAGGGAACATGGAAGACCTAGCATACTATACATACGTTTTTGTACTGTAAGGCAGCCTTTTTTCCTTTTGA